GACGTTAGATTTAACCAGACAGTCTTTCCTTGAGCTGCTTGAACGAGCTGTTGATGTTGATATCCATTTTTTGGCACGCTAAATTCCATTCCTTCCTTACACAAAGGACTAAAATACTTTCCCACCCCCGCGCTCAAACTCCAGCGGTTTTCCTCCTGTTTTGAAACGCATGCGTAATAGTGATTCTCGTTACAGTCCCTCACATACCATCTTTTGTCACGTGAGAGCACGACGCATGAATATTCATTAATGACTTGTTTTGGTTCACCCTTAGCCCACGTGAATACAGCTGTTTCCATGAGCTCGGCGTTTATTTGGTCCGCGCTAAGAACGCCGACACCGCACATTAGATATTTCTTGAAGTCCATGATCGTTCCTACGTTCCTAATACCATTATACACTGGTCCATACACGGTGCTATCACTATAGACTCTGATTTTGTCTTTACTATCACCTACAATAGAACAATTTTTAACACGTGCCTCAAAACCTTTTACGGTATAGCCTTTGCTCCACAAATGATCATGGAGGAAACGGGCTGAATGATTATTTCCGTCCAAGAAAATTATCGTTTTATTCATTTCACGTAATTGTCTAGTACTCGGCCAATTATCGCCAAACTTCTGTTTTAAGTCACTTGGTGTGAAGACCCTGTCACCGAAGTATTGCTCAATAACTTGGTTTATCGATGAATCTTCTTGGCGGGTTGTGTGGTCATCAAAAAGTATTTCAAGTACTTCATTCCGGTTTTCGTGTTTATTAGTCCAGTCCGAGATTTCTTTCATTCCATCAGCGAATTCTGCATCCCATGGGAAGCATCCAACTAAAAAGTTTTGGTTACCGTGGCTCATGCGAATTTTATCAAAACATTTCCAGAGGTCAATCTCCATATTGCGCACGCCCATGTTTAGCTGGTCCGTAAAACTAAACTCTTGATTGGCCAACGCGATACATACGTCATCTGTTTGATGTGGCCAATGACAATCGTCTAAATCCCCATATCCACTGGCTCTGTTGTTGTAGGAATTATGAGCTCCAAGAACTTGCACAAGATTAATGGGAATGTCAATTTGGAGCTCTCGCTGTGTTTTTAAGGCGAAAGAAAGCCAGGGGGAAATTCTTGCAGAACCGCGCACGCAAATACCGTGGAATCCACACTTGGAGCAATTTGCTTCCACGCTGAACTGATCACAAGACTCTCCGTTGCTTTCCCGTTTCGATCGATCATAGTTTAGTTTTGCCTTCAACTGAATCCCATCTCTTACAACATTTTGATCCCTTATTGAAGCGTAAAAGGTTAGAAGGTTCTTCAACACTTGACCTCTAACGAAATCACTCCTGTTCTCGACCTCTCCGCTTAACGGCCGACCATTCGACGGGAACTGATTTGGTGCCATACTTGCTTGTTGAAGATAAACAGAAAGAGCGGCCAAACCGAAAAAGCAGTATCGTGAGAGCGTTCTTCCCAAACTAACGCGTCGCACAGCCATTTTTACGACAGTTTTAGGGATGATCACAATAATAGGTGGCAATATTATCTGCCATCAGGCAAAGGTGATACTGTTTTTGCAGGTACCTGTATTGAACCTGTTAACAGAAATATTGTCATTTGTTGCGAAGTTTCACCTTTGCTTTGTACCAGAGGTGTTGGGGAGTAAATAGAGCCGTTGCGTTTGCGGCTCCTTCCACGTTTTAATGAAGTTTGTCACCAAGAAAATCATTAACTTGAAGAGATCAATCGGATCACTGTCGGTGTTTGAGCAACTGCGTACCTACCCTTCCCCTAACCCGACAAAAGTCAACTAATGAGAATATCGGGTTAATGCTAGGTTGGGGGAGGGGTAGGTATGCAGTTACCCAGCTACCAATATTGATTCGATCAATCGTCCATGTAATTGATAAGAATCTCATATCCGGCCTAACAAAATTTCATGCACGCAATTGAAATCAAAGGTTAACGTGCAAAATGATTAATTCTTGGACTGCACATAGAGAAAGAAAATGATATTAGTGAATGGAGACTTTTCTGGTGTAGAGGCTTAAATATAATGACTATTAAATGATCAGTTTTTTCTTTTCATTAACTGGTTGCTCAGTAATATGTTTTACTCGAACAATGAAGGCATTATCCGCGGATTGCGCTTTTGAAGATAGCGATTCCTTGAAAAAACGTGACTAATTTTTCATGATCTGGGGTTTCAACTTATAAGCACGGTTGCCTACATTGGCCAGTTTAAATTCCAAGAATCAAAAAATTTGAATAAAAACTAATCATTTTATGATCTTTGATTTTCACCCATGACCAACTATGCATAATTTTGGAAATACCCCTAAGGAAAATTTCTTTAGTTCCACCTGTGTGGGTTTTTGTTTATGAAAGGAAGCTGTGATAGTTATTTAACAAAGACCATATAACATGAGTACAACACAGAATGATAGAAATGACGAAATCTTATTGAGAAATCTGTCTTCACTGAAGATAGATTCGTTTAGCAGTAAACAAATTACGATAAATCGCGGCAATTACAAAACCAAACATACAAAACGTATACACAAACCGTAAAACATGAGCTAGATCGAAGACCACCAAAACAACTTGCAAAAATCGAATTATCTTTAATATCACGGAACAACTTATCACGAGTCAGAATCTAATCAAACGCGCAGCAGAACCACTAGACTCTCTCCCTCGATGTGCTGATTCAGTGAACAAAATTGTTTATATAATGCTTAGAAAGGCAAGACCGCACATTTCTTCCCAACGTATAATACTATGTCAGGAATTTTGTAATCAAACATCAAGGTCAACGTCGTCATCGTCGTCACGACCACATCAGCTTTTGCTGAATTTTTTATCGTGTTTAAATAAATGCTGTTGTTGTTGTTGTTGTTGTTGTCGTCGTCGTCATCGCCATCGTCATCGCCATCGTCATCGTCATCGTCATCGTCATCGTCATCATTATCATCGTTATCGTCATCGTCATCATTATCGTCATCGTCATCGTCATCGTCATCGTCATCGTCATCGTCATCGTCATCGTCGTCGTCACTGTTGTTAATCGTCATCTATTTCGTCATCGCCATCGTCGAACGCGATATTTGTTGACGTCGTCATCGTTATTGTTATTGCTGTCTCTGCCTACTTACGTTAACGCTCCTAGGTTGAAAACAACGCCAATAACTGATAAGGGTTTGCGAAGAAGGCTGTGATTTTTACACCGAATTTAATATTCAAATCTGGCAGTTTCAACTATTTTAGACGTCATTCTTAACGGCTCAAATTACAGAATATAACACGCAAATGGCCAAAAACGCTGTGCAACATGCACCAACCGCGAAACTCACAGCCCTTGGGTAGCTGAAGGCGTTCAAATAAACTATGGTGTGAAAGACCCTGGCGGCCGTGAAGACCCGTAAGCACCAAATTCCCCACGAGACTGGCATGCCAGAAAACATGTACAACCACGCTGTGATCATGAATATTGGAATGTTCTCCAGATCATTAAGATGAGCTCTGCAATGAAAATAGAAACTGTCGATGTATTTTTCCAATTTATATCCTATGTCATTGACTAAAAAAAAAACTTACAGTGATACCTTCTCACTCTTTCCACATCAGCATTTATTGGGACAGGTCTGCGCCTATAATCCTCTGGACTTGGAAACGCCTGTATTCCGACAAAGAAGGGAAAAAAAGAAGACAATAAATGACACAATTTTCGAGGAAACGAGACCCGGAAAGGGTTTCCTGAAGTATTTTCAAATGTGCAAATTTTTACGTCCACAACTAGGGAGGGCGGACCTCAATCTCCTACCCCACACAGCCTACCACGTGCTTTTCCACGTTGGAAAGAAGAAGCTTTATGGAAATGAACCTACCCGACACATGAAAAAACCAGCGAGAGGTTCCTTCCCTCTCCCCTCCCTTAAAAAATATTTTCACAAAATGTACGGTAAATCAGCTGGACAAAGGCCAACAGAAGTTATAAATTCCAGGGTTTTTTTCGTTTCAAGTCACAGTTTACGTCAAGACTCTTATGCGGATGCGTGAATGCAAGTTGTTACACGTAGGCTTCAACAACTTCTTGATAAGCACGTGAAAAACGGAACGAAACACATGGTTCATTTAACGTCTTGCCAAACGTTATTTTAGCCAATTATCGGCTACAATATTAGGCAAAGATCGCAATAGGCCTGCGAAACATTGTTATCTGACAGATTATGTGTTGGTTTTCCTTGAAATCCTCGACTTTTTCACTCGTGATATGTGCTCCAAACTTATATTTTGCTCAAAAATAGCTCAGAAATGTGAAAATTGCTTGAAGTTGCTGGAACCGCATAAAGTTGCTCCAAACGCCAAAAGTTGCGAAGCACAATCGACATAGGCCTATTTACTGACAACAATTTTTATTTAAGAATCACCGAAATAGATTCCCTTTTAAAATAAACGCTTCTACATGCATCTCTGTAAATTTCACACCTGTCAGTTCCGTGGAGAGCACATAATTTTCTTTGATCACCGTTACATACGGGGAATCAGCGACGTAACAATATGTCACGCAACATGTCACAGTTCGTAAACACCGAAACTGAAATATCGATCGACAACTGTGGAATGCGGAGCTTCGTCACATGTTGTTTGCGACTCAATCCAATCCAAGCAATCATTAAATGTTTACAGAACAGCATGATATCTTTATCAACCTAAGTTTTAAACCTTAAACTAAATTCGTATTCTTTCAGTTTCCAATTCCTGTTTGCTTGAAAGTTTTTGTCACTACACAATGACCTGATAACAACTGACGGGTTTTCTTACCTTGTTCGCAATACGATGCCTCGCGGTTACAAAGGACATTACCCAAGTCTTAAGCATTAGTATGGCGCCATAAAAAAGGTAAGCCGATAGGAAATGATCATCCACCGAAAGCGTTACCATTTCCCGACTGTCAAAATCGCCGTGTTCGATAATTATCGCGGTTGTAAATGAGTTTCGTAACTCTTCCACAAATCACGCGATCACGCAACGCGACAGAATGATTAAGCATTCATTTGACCACAGGGTTCCCCACAAAAATTATCTCTCCTCCTTGGCCAAAGAAAACAGAAAATCAAGAACTTTGCTAGAGTCAAATGCGAAATAATTTTGTAAATATATCTCTCATTTATATTACACTTCATGGTTTTGAAATTTTGTCTTTCAGTTCAAATTCTGCGTGCACCGTTTCAATCTGTCTGAGTTTACGAGCGGTTCTCTTGCTCCACATGCTAATTGAGGTAAGTCGAAGGCGATCAGTCACTTGGAAATAATCTCAAGATGATTTCGCAATGCGTGTGATTTTTGGGTGATGTTGCTAATTTTGGTATCCCAGCCGGTAGGGCTCCAGCACCTGAGCGAACCCGCCCGTCAGCTGGTGTTGTCGGAGAAGCTAAATCTCCCTCTTAGTAAACCCCAACCCCACCCCACCCCCTCACACAACACACTCTCACATACTACACTTGCCCCGAGAGTTAAAGCCCCCTAAATTCTTCTACACTAATGACATTTTTTTATTTGTCTGATGTGCTATAGGTTATTTTGGTTATCAGAGTAAATAGAAGTAACACTACACTGTCTGATCTTTTGACTCCGGGTTCTGTAGTGACTCAAAGAGGCGATCCCGATTTTTACAAAATCCCATCGAAAAGCGCATTCTATAATCGCTGAGCTGGACATAACTGGTAATGAATTAATTTTAACGCTTAAAAGAGTCCTCTTTACAGTCACTGCCATGACTCAGGTAAATTATGATTTGATTTTTTTTTTCATTTTTTGCAGCAATGACGCAAAATAAATGCATATGGTTTAAAATATTTCAATCATTCTCTCAATGTTAAGAGATATACGATAATGCTCCTAATTGCTATGAAATCAAACTGAAAAAGATATTCAGGTAAATGAACGGAACTATGGTAATACGCAGAATTTTTATCAAAGTGGAATGTAATTTCGACAAAATTTAACCGGAAATGATGCATAAGGGTGGAACTTGTGAAACGGAACTGTTGGGGAAATTGCATTGTTTTGTACATTCTCGATGTAATCTGCTGTTTCATCACAAATTAGTAATCATAGACATAAATAACTGCAGTAAAGCGTTAGAATTCAATAAATAATTTATTTTTTAATTTTTTTTTTTTGACATTTCAAAGATTTTGTCATTAAATACCACTCGTAGAAAAAGCTTTGTACATTTTAAATGTAATCTGTTAAAGCATAAATAAAAATAACTGTGAATGATGCTTTATCCTCGTGTGTATACATGCGGCTTTGTCCATTGGGAAACGTGCAAGCAGACTTCGCATAATAAATTATCTGAATTTAACACTACACGTTTGCGTGTGAATCGTTTGTTGTACTAAAACACATCAAAAAAATAAAGTTTGTTTTGAAAAATAGAGAGAGTTTTCTCATTCTTAGGATTATCTGCAATATTGATGGTACAAATTGTCTTTCCTTAACCAAAGTGCGATGAAAGTTTTCGGTTAAAAGTAATCCCAAAATGTTTTCTCAAAGTCAATAAATACATATGTCTGGTTTTTTTTGGTTAAAAAACGCTTCTTCTCTTCCACTCTGGTTTTAACTTGGGTTGTCAGTCTTCTATGAAGATCTTTGTTCTACAGTTTTTCCGGCTTAGAGAAGGCTTCTGTCCTTGCTGTAACGCCAAATCGTTAATTTCAAGCTTTCCCGCAACAAAATCCTCTTTGATCAATGAGATGAACTTGTTGACTGTTCAAAGCTAGTAGCAAAGTTCTGGTAGACATTGGCAGCTGTTGTTTCCTTTTAGTAATCTTGAAGATAAGGATATTAGCAAAAAACAGCCCAGAGTTATGATGACAACACTGTACTCAAGCACAACCTCGTGCATTGAATAAAGCCTTGTGATGCGTGAGCCTTCCATCGACGAACTTGTATGGCTTGAAGCTGTAATTTCGGGAATGGACATGATAATTTTTGCGAGTCCTTTTTTGATGTGAAAATTCTTTCACCTTCAGCGCCAAGTTGAGTTGTTACTTCGGTGAGGTATATTTATCAAATGAATTTTCCTGTTTAATAAGCAAACATTTATTGAGAGGAAAGCGGTGCTGTTGCAACGAGATTGACGTAACATCCGGTAACATGATACATCCGGTGAAAATTATCTGGAAAGCTTTTACAGCGCTTTAGCTTGATTAGAGCACTTGCGTTGACAGAACTTGTCATCATAAACCAGTAAATCTTTTTAGAAAAACTTGTACGAATTATATTTGAAAATATGATAATTTAGCTGCCATGTGGGGATGCACGAACAAGGTGCTATGAAAGTCAAAATTCCATGATTCAGATTGCAAAACGATTTCTGTCAATATGGTATCTGCATTGTGTTTCATGTCCATGAAAGAACCAGGTATTTCACAAGTTGTTGGGAAACATGCCGCATAACCATTTAATCCTACATTTTTGCCATGAAAACGTGATTCACGCTTTTTGTAAAAAAACCAGCACGATTTAACTTATGTAACTCAGACGGTTATGTTAAAAGTTCATTTGGTTCTGGGCAAAATGCCTGCCTATCGAACTATCTGATGAGTGATAAAAGGAAAGTCCGTTTAAATTTCTCATCCACTTAATTTGTTCCATCATAATTCTAAAGTAGCGAAGACAAAAAGCTCTTTGTTTTCCGATTGTTTCACATTACAAGTATCTCGAAGAACGAGTAAATCCTTCAGAACTTTATCAGGGGAATCAAGTTTCGCCACAGCTAGCCCGTGCTCAAGGTCATGCACTTGTCTTAGCTTATTAAAGCTAGTCATGGCTGACAGAGCGAATTGTTGAGTTACTTTATTCTTCATTCTGTTTAGAAATAACTTAAGCCATCCGACTTACCGCAAACAACCATTTTCAAAGCGCTCCACGAAATTTAGGGTTGCAACTGATGTCAATGAACGAAGGTGGGGGGGACGTTTTCACACATGAGTTTACAATGTCGAAGGTGCTCGCCGTTCGTCTCCTTGAAGTTCTCTCAGAAGGTAAATGAATTACCTTCTTTCTTTAAAATAGGAGCAAATATTTTCATTTTGTGACACACACATTTTTTTCTCTCTTAATCTTTTACAAGGTTTATTTTTAACAAGTTCTTCAGGAACATGCAACAATAATCTCCTCTCAGTTATAAGTTACGGGATCAAATCATTAGTATTTACTCTCTATTATTGTTTTGGATGACCTCTCTCCTGTTCAACCCGTTTTTCCCGAGCTCACCAGCTGGTATTGACAGCTGAGCTGCAAGTGGTACAAAACCAGAAATTGTGAAATACTTGCTGAAATTAGTTTTAAATCCAAGAGGATTTTATAACCATCCTTAAGTTCGAAAAACCGCTAATTCCACAGCATTTCTCCGGTTTCCCTCCTCTGGCCGGCCACAAGATTAACTTAAAACGGACGGAAACAAATTTTTTTCGGAATAGCTAATTTTCTGCCAGAAGTCTTACAGCTGGAATAATGGGGCCAGTGTGAAATCGCGACTCAGTTGGCAGTGAACCGAAGTGCGTAGTTTCGTCGGCTTATCTTCACAGATTTTACACTTTGCCTTTTCATCTTCATCGCGGCTTTTCCGTGGTAGCCGGCTTCGTTCAGTCAGAAGTCACGTCCATAGAAGTGATCACGTGATCACGCCAGGTCAGCTAGCCTGTCATGATAATTTTATTAGTCTATGTAGAACAACCTAAGATCTCCATTGAATTCAGAGCTGCCCTTCAAACAAGGCCCACAACTAACGGAATTTCAGTTTTACGAGGAACGGATAGAAATTTGTATATCTCTCGGAAGTTTGTTTTGGCGTGTTTAGAAAGGTCTTGAAATAGGGCAGGCTTTTCATTTAAGGCAAAGCACTGAAACACTGTAAAAATGCAAAACTTAACGTAAATTACATGTTTGCTACGTCATTATTTAATGATCAAGGATGCTGAAGTTCTTAACGCAATGGATATAATAAGAACTTTGCCGAAAACGTTTTATTTTGCTGAGGTTGAGTAAATGTCTCTCTTCTGACGGAATGTTTGAAATAAATGTTTCCGCCGTCTGCATGTCTGTCTTGAGTGGTTTTCAGTATCTTTCATATGTATTTTGCGGAATAGGGTCTAAAAAGCAAAGAAAAGCTAAGTAGAACTGTGGTACCACTGAATAAACAAATTAAGCTTTATTCTAGCGCGATTTTTACGCGCGGGAGTACACCTAGGGATTCTTGGCAGGGGTCCAACTGATCAAATCTCCAATTCCTGACTCTATTTCAAAATAAAACATGCCATTTTCCACATCTGCGGTCAATCCTGGTTCTAAAGTCCACGTACGTTTTCATACGTGGTATTTGAATTGGGCACTTGAGCTCAAGAGAACATATTTATATTCTCTCGTTTGAGCCGTGTTTAAATTCACATCGCTTCCGAAGCCGGTAGGGAATTAAGTTCAGATGATAAATTTTGCTCACTTTTCTAGTTCTTAATTTTAAAGAAGATACCTCTAAGGCGTAGAAAAACCCTTTAAAATGTTCCTCCGCTCCTAGTCCTCCCGGCGTGTGGCTTTGTAGCTCAGTTTGTAGCATCTGGGAGGCATGCGTTTGAATCACGTCAAAGCCTGAATTCCTTTTTTACTTTTCTTTTCTGTAATGGATTAAATTGCAGCTTATCAGCGAGAATCATCGCTTTACTTTCTTTTCTCTCCCTGTTATTCGTTTTGCTTCGAAAAGACAAAAATATTTGGTCTAAATTGGCTCAAAAGCTACGACCTACCTAAATAATGTCCCTCCCCTCCCTCTAGCACTTGTAGTAACCTTTACGTGATGAGCGGTAATGGACATTACAGCTCCTAATGGAATTGTTCTCAGACCTAATCATTTTTCAAGTAATCCCTTTGGAAGTTTATTGTTTCTGAGTATTTTATTTTTTTGACTGATTAGGAAAGGGCATAATCCCCATAAAAGAAAAAATCAATTGATAATCCAACTGCTATTGAAGTTTAAGAGGATTACTTCACTAAATGATAGAAATTTATCACGCTGTGAATCAAGCATTAAGACTTCGCTGAAAGAGCTCTTGGTGAACTTTTCAACTAAAATTTGCGATTTAAGACCCTCAATTGCAGCAAAAAAATCATCAAAGATTCGAACTAAAAGACGTTTTCAAATTTCCTGCCTTGAAAAAGTAGTTGACCCTTATATCAGTCGTACGCCGACGCAGTCATCAGTTGTCATGACAACTAAGTACTTCGTGGGAACAAGATATTTTGCTTTGAGGCATAAGTGGCCTTTACGTGACATTCCCCTGTGAAAAAAGAAGATATCACGAGATTTATTGGATATCAATTGAAGTCATGAAGATAAAGCGATAAGAGAACTAGTTAGAAATTTAAAGGGGATTACATTAAGGAACTGCTTGACAAGTTTATTGCCTTTATTTCTTGATTTGCTGAAGGAAAATACGCCATTGCCCGTGAAAACATGGAAAATAATTTTTAAATTTTGATGAAAAGCCAAACTTTTTTCTCAAATCTTTTTTGTGCGCTTTGTGGAACAGCGCGAGTGTTTTTTTTAAGAAAACTGACTGACCGCAAAAATCTACGTGTGTTGGATATGGATCAATATTTGGTTACCGATTGTTTGAATTGCCAGCCTTTTTAGTCTTTGTTCTATCACTGTTTACTTCAAACTACATCACTGACAGTTCTTGATCTGTGTGACCACTGAAAATAATAAAGAAAGCACTTGACAATTTAAGGTTACACTAAGCATTGATAACAAACGTGCACAAGCGTAGCTACAGCCAGTATCTTTTCATCCGATCAGTGTAGGCGACTTTTTAAACCTTTAAGCAACCACGATCTGATTGGTAATTCTCCCTCCTTAACTAACAATTCCTTTTAAATTTTTTACAAGAATTTGGAGTTAAATCACGATAACAACGTCTTCCTGATAAATTAGAGTATTCTCATAACCTGTTAGCTGGATAAAGTATGGATATTATAGAGAGAAGTCGCATGTTAATCACTTGTGGAAGTTAAAGGATTGAGGTTTATCTTTATTGCAAGCGAGGGTTGCTGTTGCTTCTTTATAGAGAATCATTCCTCTGCCGCATGCGCATGCGTAAAGGCCAGCACATTCCTTACATGTGCGCATGTACATTTTCGTCATAACATTTTACTGTTACTGCGACGACACTTTTCCTTCAATGTTCTAGGCTAGATTCTCAGACTTGAAAGTGGTTGTTCTTCTACGCAATGATTTATACATTTCCCCTATCGGCACGTGTTGGGAAAAGTAGTCACTGCTAATTCGTGAAAAATCTCCTTATCATAGGTGACCGGTCAGAACATAAATGAAAAGAATGTTTCTTTGTAATCGTGTGACCTGAGGAATTACAACATTTATCTAGTGATTAAAGACCGGCTTTTTTCTTTACTTCCGGTATAGTGCATAGATCTTTGCCGGATACAATGACGTCAATTGTAAATCTGATAAGCCTACGAAAGCTTATATGAATTTAAACAGAAAAAGAAACAAAAAAAAGGAAGAAATGCAACAGGCAGCAACACGCCCACGTTTAGCAACCTCTAATTCTGTTTGCTAACGGAAGTGATTTTCATTAAGGTTCACAGCCTCTCACCGACAAACACGTACACTGATGTACGCCCGTTAGAGTACTGGAATCGAGTGAACCTTCCATCCTCTAGAAGTTTAAAAGGACGCAATTAATTTCAGTAGCGTCGTATAGGATGGTCCCCCAATACCATATAATCACTTTGCAATCTTTTGTTAGAAAATAACTTCAAGTGAATGATCGTGTATTTGGTATGTTTCGTAGTTTTAGAAGGAAAACTGCATATTCACTTTACTTTGCTAGACACTTTGATCTCTCGTATCATTCTAGGCTAGACGTGGTTTCTGAGGCCTTTCTTCATGTTTAGGCAGTTTGAAAAGATACAGAACTCTAGAACAAAAATTAATCTTTCAAATCGGCACCCTTAAATCCCATTCAAATTTCATTCAACTTATTCATTCTTGTATTTCTAATGTTAGACAAGTTACCAAGCAGTCCTACTAATAGCGTAGCTCCATCTTCATAAATTTTTCATATATAAACTTGACATAGATATTTTTTCGTTTTTTCACAAGCGTGGGACAAGGAAAAAATTCTGAGTTCCCATGACGAATCGAACCTCAAACCTTCGGATTCCGCGCTCCGATGCTTTACCATTGAGCCACATAGACTCCACGGTGAGCGAAGTTCGTATGACACCCGTCCTGCATGCTGCTAAGATCAACAATGTTGATAGCGTAATATTTGAAGATAGAACTTGTCATAATTCGCTCAAGCTGTCGAAGGCTGACGCTAAAGACGTCAGCTTCAGAAACTATTTACATTATAAACTCATTTTATTAAACCAAATTATCTCGGCGCGCACCAAAGTTTCTTTAGAAAATTACCCACTTTTCTACGATTTTGTTTCTATCCTGTCAAGAATCGATAAATACGAAAAATTCGAATCAAATTCGGTAATCGAAAATGGTATATTTTTTAAGAAAAATATGATCTCAGTGGGGAAAAATTAGCTCAAGATGTTTGTGTTGTTCAAGATACCTGGTGAAACTTACACAAACAAAGCAATATTTGGAAATATAAGCTGCTGACCATTTACCAATCTTTCAATGATCGTAAAGTTATTGTAAAGTTAGCAGAGGGTTGAAGCAAATTCTTTCACTTTTAACACCCGATAATTGGTAACATATCAAAGTTAGCAGACTAAGAAATGCAAAACCCCAGCGAGGATACCCAATGGAACGATGCCTTACGTCGACACGGAATTTTACCCGAAAAAGAAGTTAGTGAAGATCAACTTATCGATCTTGTAGAAGAAACTGTCCAACAGAAAACAGGAAATGTAGTGAAAGCGTACGAAGATATGACTTTAGAGGAACTGGAGGAACTGGAAGATGAGGAAGATGAACGTGTTTTGCTACAGTATAGGTAGGAAATTTTTTTTGTACGGATTTTATTTTCTTATCTCGGCATGAAGTAGACGTGAAAGCTATTGCTGTCAATGACAATCTTGCTTTTACCATATAAGGCAATGAAAACTTAAAGTATGAAAATGTTAAACCTTAGCTGATTCAAAATAAAAATACCTTGTGTTAAGGAGTTAAAGACAGAGACTTGCCAATTGTCAGTTCAGTCAACAAAAGACCTTTTTTTTTTTACTCTTACCTGACGTTACCTGGTTTTTCATATGTCAAGAAAATCCTAGATGGTTAGAAATTTCACCATTCCCAACCTGTCTCAGAGTTTTCAGACTAAGGAAGTTTTGGAATGGAAGACATCCCTGACTTTCTGAGATGGTTGAAAATCAGAGGCATTTATATGTATTTATTACATATTATATTATCGCTGTGATGAACCACACAATGCTTTTGAAATTCATTTGTTTTATAATTTTTAATGAAAACAGTACATGTTTCGGATGAAGCATCATCCATTGTCAGTTTTTTAATGAGAAACAAAATGAAATTATGCAATAAATAGTATAATAAAGTGAGATG